AAGTGAGTAATGTGTTTAGGGCGTGAGAGGAAGTGAGTAATGTGTTTAGGGCGTGAGAGGAAGTGAGTAATGTGTTTAGGGCGTGAGAGGAAGTGAGTAATGTGTTTAGGGCGTGAGAGGAAGTGAGTAATGTGTTTAGGGCGTGAGAGGAAGTGAGTAATGTGTTTAGGGCGTGAGAGGAAGTGAGTAATGTGTTTAGGGCGTGAGAGGAAGTGAGTAATGTGTTTAGGGCGTGAGAGGAAGTGAGTAATGTGTTTAGGGCGTGAGAGGAAGTGAGTAATGTGTTTAGGGCGTGAGAGGAAGTGAGTAATGTGTTTAGGGCGTGAGAGGAAGTGAGTAATGTGTTTAGGGCGTGAGAGGAAGTGAGTAATGTGTTTAGGGCGTGAGAGGAAGTGAGTAATGTGTTTAGGGCGTGAGAGGAAGTGAGTAATGTGTTTAGGGCGTGAGAGGAAGTGAGTAATGTGTTTAGGGCGTGAGAGGAAGTGAGTAATGTGTTTAGGGCGTGAGAGGAAGTGAGTAATGTGTTTAGGGCGTGAGAGGAAGTGAGTAATGTGTTTAGGGCGTGAGAGGAAGTGAGTAATGTGTTTAGGGCGTGAGAGGAAGTGAGTAATGTGTTTAGGGCGTGAGAGGAAGTGAGTAATGTGTTTAGGGCGTGAGAGGAAGTGAGTAATGTGTTTAGGGCGTGAGAGGAAGTGAGTAATGTGTTTAGGGCGTGAGAGGAAGTGAGTAATGTGTTTAGGGCGTGAGAGGAAGTGAGTAATGTGTTTAGGGCGTGAGAGGAAGTGAGTAATGTGTTTAGGGCGTGAGAGGAAGTGAGTAATGTGTTTAGGGCGTGAGAGGAAGTGAGTAATGTGTTTAGGGCGTGAGAGGAAGTGAGTAATGTGTTTAGGGCGTGAGAGGAAGTGAGTAATGTGTTTAGGGCGTGAGAGGAAGTGAGTAATGTGTTTAGGGCGTGAGAGGAAGTGAGTAATGTGTTTAGGGCGTGAGAGGAAGTGAGTAATGTGTTTAGGGCGTGAGAGGAAGTGAGTAATGTGTTTAGGGCGTGAGAGGAAGTGAGTAATGTGTTTAGGGCGTGAGAGGAAGTGAGTAATGTGTTTAGGGCGTGAGAGGAAGTGAGTAATGTGTTTAGGGCGTGAGAGGAAGTGAGTAATGTGTTTAGGGCGTGAGAGGAAGTGAGTAATGTGTTTAGGGCGTGAGAGGAAGTGAGTAATGTGTTTAGGGCGTGAGAGGAAGTGAGTAATGTGTTTAGGGCGTGAGAGGAAGTGAGTAATGTGTTTAGGGCGTGAGAGGAAGTGAGTAATGTGTTTAGGGCGTGAGAGGAAGTGAGTAATGTGTTTAGGGCGTGAGAGGAAGTGAGTAATGTGTTTAGGGCGTGAGAGGAAGTGAGTAATGTGTTTAGGGCGTGAGAGGAAGTGAGTAATGTGTTTAGGGCGTGAGAGGAAGTGAGTAATGTGTTTAGGGCGTGAGAGGAAGTGAGTAATGTGTTTAGGGCGTGAGAGGAAGTGAGTAATGTGTTTAGGGCGTGAGAGGAAGTGAGTAATGTGTTTAGGGCGTGAGAGGAAGTGAGTAATGTGTTTAGGGCGTGAGAGGAAGTGAGTAATGTGTTTAGGGCGTGAGAGGAAGTGAGTAATGTGTTTAGGGCGTGAGAGGAAGTGAGTAATGTGTTTAGGGCGTGAGAGGAAGTGAGTAATGTGTTTAGGGCGTGAGAGGAAGTGAGTAATGTGTTTAGGGCGTGAGAGGAAGTGAGTAATGTGTTTAGGGCGTGAGAGGAAGTGAGTAATGTGTTTAGGGCGTGAGAGGAAGTGAGTAATGTGTTTAGGGCGTGAGAGGAAGTGAGTAATGTGTTTAGGGCGTGAGAGGAAGTGAGTAATGTGTTTAGGGCGTGAGAGGAAGTGAGTAATGTGTTTAGGGCGTGAGAGGAAGTGAGTAATGTGTTTAGGGCGTGAGAGGAAGTGAGTAATGTGTTTAGGGCGTGAGAGGAAGTGAGTAATGTGTTTAGGGCGTGAGAGGAAGTGAGTAATGTGTTTAGGGCGTGAGAGGAAGTGAGTAATGTGTTTAGGGCGTGAGAGGAAGTGAGTAATGTGTTTAGGGCGTGAGAGGAAGTGAGTAATGTGTTTAGGGCGTGAGAGGAAGTGAGTAATGTGTTTAGGGCGTGAGAGGAAGTGAGTAATGTGTTTAGGGCGTGAGAGGAAGTGAGTAATGTGTTTAGGGCGTGAGAGGAAGTGAGTAATGTGTTTAGGGCGTGAGAGGAAGTGAGTAATGTGTTTAGGGCGTGAGAGGAAGTGAGTAATGTGTTTAGGGCGTGAGAGGAAGTGAGTAATGTGTTTAGGGCGTGAGAGGAAGTGAGTAATGTGTTTAGGGCGTGAGAGGAAGTGAGTAATGTGTTTAGGGCGTGAGAGGAAGTGAGTAATGTGTTTAGGGCGTGAGAGGAAGTGAGTAATGTGTTTAGGGCGTGAGAGGAAGTGAGTAATGTGTTTAGGGCGTGAGAGGAAGTGAGTAATGTGTTTAGGGCGTGAGAGGAAGTGAGTAATGTGTTTAGGGCGTGAGAGGAAGTGAGTAATGTGTTTAGGGCGTGAGAGGAAGTGAGTAATGTGTTTAGGGCGTGAGAGGAAGTGAGTAATGTGTTTAGGGCGTGAGAGGAAGTGAGTAATGTGTTTAGGGCGTGAGAGGAAGTGAGTAATGTGTTTAGGGCGTGAGAGGAAGTGAGTAATGTGTTTAGGGCGTGAGAGGAAGTGAGTAATGTGTTTAGGGCGTGAGAGGAAGTGAGTAATGTGTTTAGGGCGTGAGAGGAAGTGAGTAATGTGTTTAGGGCGTGAGAGGAAGTGAGTAATGTGTTTAGGGCGTGAGAGGAAGTGAGTAATGTGTTTAGGGCGTGAGAGGAAGTGAGTAATGTGTTTAGGGCGTGAGAGGAAGTGAGTAATGTGTTTAGGGCGTGAGAGGAAGTGAGTAATGTGTTTAGGGCGTGAGAGGAAGTGAGTAATGTGTTTAGGGCGTGAGAGGAAGTGAGTAATGTGTTTAGGGCGTGAGAGGAAGTGAGTAATGTGTTTAGGGCGTGAGAGGAAGTGAGTAATGTGTTTAGGGCGTGAGAGGAAGTGAGTAATGTGTTTAGGGCGTGAGAGGAAGTGAGTAATGTGTTTAGGGCGTGAGAGGAAGTGAGTAATGTGTTTAGGGCGTGAGAGGAAGTGAGTAATGTGTTTAGGGCGTGAGAGGAAGTGAGTAATGTGTTTAGGGCGTGAGAGGAAGTGAGTAATGTGTTTAGGGCGTGAGAGGAAGTGAGTAATGTGTTTAGGGCGTGAGAGGAAGTGAGTAATGTGTTTAGGGCGTGAGAGGAAGTGAGTAATGTGTTTAGGGCGTGAGAGGAAGTGAGTAATGTGTTTAGGGCGTGAGAGGAAGTGAGTAATGTGTTTAGGGCGTGAGAGGAAGTGAGTAATGTGTTTAGGGCGTGAGAGGAAGTGAGTAATGTGTTTAGGGCGTGAGAGGAAGTGAGTAATGTGTTTAGGGCGTGAGAGGAAGTGAGTAATGTGTTTAGGGCGTGAGAGGAAGTGAGTAATGTGTTTAGGGCGTGAGAGGAAGTGAGTAATGTGTTTAGGGCGTGAGAGGAAGTGAGTAATGTGTTTAGGGCGTGAGAGGAAGTGAGTAATGTGTTTAGGGCGTGAGAGGAAGTGAGTAATGTGTTTAGGGCGTGAGAGGAAGTGAGTAATGTGTTTAGGGCGTGAGAGGAAGTGAGTAATGTGTTTAGGGCGTGAGAGGAAGTGAGTAATGTGTTTAGGGCGTGAGAGGAAGTGAGTAATGTGTTTAGGGCGTGAGAGGAAGTGAGTAATGTGTTTAGGGCGTGAGAGGAAGTGAGTAATGTGTTTAGGGCGTGAGAGGAAGTGAGTAATGTGTTTAGGGCGTGAGAGGAAGTGAGTAATGTGTTTAGGGCGTGAGAGGAAGTGAGTAATGTGTTTAGGGCGTGAGAGGAAGTGAGTAATGTGTTTAGGGCGTGAGAGGAAGTGAGTAATGTGTTTAGGGCGTGAGAGGAAGTGAGTAATGTGTTTAGGGCGTGAGAGGAAGTGAGTAATGTGTTTAGGGCGTGAGAGGAAGTGAGTAATGTGTTTAGGGCGTGAGAGGAAGTGAGTAATGTGTTTAGGGCGTGAGAGGAAGTGAGTAATGTGTTTAGGGCGTGAGAGGAAGTGAGTAATGTGTTTAGGGCGTGAGAGGAAGTGAGTAATGTGTTTAGGGCGTGAGAGGAAGTGAGTAATGTGTTTAGGGCGTGAGAGGAAGTGAGTAATGTGTTTAGGGCGTGAGAGGAAGTGAGTAATGTGTTTAGGGCGTGAGAGGAAGTGAGTAATGTGTTTAGGGCGTGAGAGGAAGTGAGTAATGTGTTTAGGGCGTGAGAGGAAGTGAGTAATGTGTTTAGGGCGTGAGAGGAAGTGAGTAATGTGTTTAGGGCGTGAGAGGAAGTGAGTAATGTGTTTAGGGCGTGAGAGGAAGTGAGTAATGTGTTTAGGGCGTGAGAGGAAGTGAGTAATGTGTTTAGGGCGTGAGAGGAAGTGAGTAATGTGTTTAGGGCGTGAGAGGAAGTGAGTAATGTGTTTAGGGCGTGAGAGGAAGTGAGTAATGTGTTTAGGGCGTGAGAGGAAGTGAGTAATGTGTTTAGGGCGTGAGAGGAAGTGAGTAATGTGTTTAGGGCGTGAGAGGAAGTGAGTAATGTGTTTAGGGCGTGAGAGGAAGTGAGTAATGTGTTTAGGGCGTGAGAGGAAGTGAGTAATGTGTTTAGGGCGTGAGAGGAAGTGAGTGGATTGGGTACCTCAAGAGGTCGTGCGGGGCGTGGGTGTCATTCAGAAGTCAGTAGTCGGGGGAAGTGTGGTGAGGGTTGGGCCGTGCAGGGCGCGGGGCTGTGCTGTGCTTACCTGAGCACCACTCTCGCTTGTAGTTCGTTCAAAAGGTCGCTACTGTCTCGCTGGTGCTCAAATGCTCGTGCATAGGCCTGGCAATGTGTTTGCTTCCTACTTCCGCAGATGTTGGTTCACTCTCGTCCCCTCTCCTCTCCTCTCCTCTCCTCTCCTCTCCTCTCCCCTCATGCGCATGAATGCACGACTCATGTGCATCGTGCTCCACCTCTTCCCGTCTCTTCTGTTTTTCTCTTCCCTCTCCCGTCTTCCCTCTCCCGTCTTCCCTCTCCCGTCTTCCCTCTCCCGTCTTCCCTCTCCTGCAGGAACCCTGACCAGTCAAAGCATCTGGAGACAGCAACGATGATGATTCACGGCATGTGGATCGACTTTGTGAACCTCAGGGCAGAGGAGTACGCACACGACTCCAGAATCCCTCACACCATTGTAAGCACCCGCTTGTTTTAGGTTTAAGAATGGTTACAGGGTTACCATTCGTGCCTAGACTAGATTGCACGGCAAGGGAGCACTTGGAGACTGCAAGGATGATGACACGGCATGTGGATCGACTTTGTCATTTGAGAATTCTCAAAAAACACACGCTGTCAATCTGAGGGCGGCGATTCCAGAATCCCTCATTCCATTGTAAGCACCAGTCACTAGTTACAAGGTTACCAACTTATGTGGCTTCTAGTGGGCTCAGGAGTTCGCCACGGTTCCAAAATCCCCTCCTCCGTTGTACGAGCTCACTGGTTAAAGAGTATAGCATGGTTTCAGGGTTATGTTATCAAATGTGCTTGCGCCTGTGGCAGGAGTTTGGGACAGCAGAGGAGGACGCACTGAGGAGGGACTTGACGATCAACAGCATGTTTTACAACATCAGCACGGAGCAAGTGGAGGACCCCACTGGGCGAGGTGAGGAGATTGTTACGAGGTGATTTTTGAGTCGACTCAAAAGATTGTTGAGGTGATTTTTGAGGCACCTCAGAGATGCTGTAAGGAGGGACCTGACAATCAACAGCATGTGGCAGTGATATTACTGCACAGCATCACCACCGGACAAGTACACGACACGACACGACACGACACGACACGACACGACACGACACGACACGACACTCACCAAAATCTTCCCTTCCCCCTCTTCCCCCCCCTCCCCCTGCCAGGAATCTCCGACCTGAATGGGGGCATCATCCGCACGCCCCTCCCACCCCACCAGACCTTCCTTGACGACCCTCTCCGAGTGCTTCGGGCCGTCAGGTTCGGTGAGTGGTCCGGTCCGGGCTGTTGCGGTGTCTCCACGGCAGAAAAGAGATCTTTCTCAGAAGAGCAGGTCAGTGTTTTGTTAGTGTGCTTACTAAGAGCAGGTCAGTGTGTTAGTGCTTTGTTTTGAGACGTCTCAAAACATCTCTTTTTCTTAGAAGAGCAGGTCAGTGTGTTAGTGCTTTGTTTTGAGACGTCTCAAAACATCTCTTTTTCTTAGAAGAGCAGGTCAGTGTGTTAGTGCTTTGTTTTGAGACGTCTCAAAACATCTCTTTTTCTTAGAAGAGCAGGTCACTGTGTTAGTGCTTTGTTCTCCCACACCCCTCCGACGTCCCCTCCCCCTCCCCCCCAGCTTCTTGCTCCCCTTTGTTTTCCTACTGGACCTCTTTCTTAAATGTTCTCCCTCCCACACACACACCCTTCCCCTGCTCCCTTCCCCCTTGTTTCCTCCATCCTGCCCCTGTGCGGTCCTGCTGTTCCTTTCAGCTGCCCGATTCGGCTTCTCATTGGACGAGGAGTTGCGGGCAGCTGCAGCTTCGGAGGAGGTTCGGACAGCGCTGGGAAACAAAGTCAGCAAGGAAAGGATTGGGAAAGAGGTACGGGAAGAGGCTCAGGATAGTGGTACGGAAAAAAACTTCACGGGATAGAGGTATGGGAAAGAGGCATGGGGAAATTCACAGGGTGAATTCGAGAATGCTCTATCACAGGGAATGCTCAATCGACACGGTGAATTCACAGATGCACCTGTGCCCTCTCACTTGGTCACTTGGCTCTCTATGTTCCCTTACACATGTCTTCTCCTTCTCCCCTTCTCAGGTAGAGCTGATGCTCAAGTCCCGTGACCCATATGCAGCAATATCCCTGGTGGTTGACCTCAACCTCTTCCCCATCGTCTTCCCGCTCCCCCACGCCCCATCGCACACTGCCGACGTGCCTCCTGACGATGAGCTCCCAGGGTGAGTGAGTAACGTGGTAACCAGAGGCATTTAGCTGTTCTAACTCTCGTTGTTTGAGGCTCGTTCCTGCTCCCCCACGCCCCCTCGCACACTGCTGCTGACGTGCCTCCTGACGATGAGCTCCCAGGGTGAGTAACGTGGTAACCATACATGGTAACATCTGGCTTGTGCTTAGAACATGTCCCTATCTCCCTTACTCCCTTACACCTTATCCCACGCCCCCTCTCCCTTTTTCACCCCTTGTGTGTGTGTGTGTGTGTGTGTGTGTGCGTGTGTGTGTGTGCGTGTGTGTGTGTGTGTGCGTGTGTGTGCATGCATGGGCATGGGAGGGTTGTGCATGGGTGATACGCCCCACCCCACCCACACCAGCCTCTGTGAAGCATCGTTTGCAGCCACCTGCACACGCCTGCACCAATGGGAGAAACATCTGCCGCAGGTAACGTCTATTCTTATGTATAGAAATAGTGTGAGGAGGGGGGGTGCACCCACCCACATCAGCCTCTGTGAAGCCTCGTTGGCAGCCACTTGCACACGCCTGCACCAGTGGGAGCAACACCTGCCCCAGGTAACGCCCAACCTCACAGAAGGCCATTTTCCAGATAAGGCCTGCCCCAGGTAAAGCCATTTTTCAGATGCCTCAGCCTGTCCCCAGATTGTACCTTCCCCAGTTACCGCCTGTCCCTGCATACAGCCTGCAAACCAGGCATGGGTCACATTGGATTCTGCCTATTGCAGCAAAGATTTGAGTCACATTGGATACGTGGTCTATGACTCAAAGCTTTTGCTGTTATGCACATGTGCCACGTGGCAGGCTCTGATTGATCACTCGTCGGACCTTAGCGTGGGGCTGCTGCTGGCGGCGCTGCTGATGCCTCTCAGGCACGCGCACTACCTGGATAGGAAGAAGAAAGAGGTAAGGGGCGGTGGAGAGGGGGTGGTGAGCGGTTGTGTTTGGTGAAGAGGGGTGCTGGCGGCACTGCTGATGCCTGTCAGGCATGCGCACTACCTGGATAGGAAGAAGAAAGAGGGGTGGAGAGGGGCAACGAGGTGTGGAGAGGTGGTGAGAGGGATAAAGAGGAGTGCTGCTGTTCTGACTGATGCTTCTCTGGAATATGCACTATCTGGATACGAAGATGACAGAGGTGAGAAAGAAGTGGTGGTGAGGGGCGGCCACCGGTGCTCCTGTTGTTGTGATTGATGCCTCTTAGGCGCAAGCATTTCCTGGATAGGAAGAAGATCCCACCACCTTCTAATGAGGACCTCCCAAGCCCTCATCAGACGAGTTTTGAGGCGCCTCAATCTGAGCCTCCTCTTTGTCTTTGCATGTGCCGTCGCAGGTGCCATTCTGGATCTTTTTTTTGAGAATTCTTAAAAAAACAACAGGGAGGGACTTTTGAGATGTCTCGAACTTTGTCTTTGCATGTACCTTTGCAGGTGCCATTCGCGCAACACATTGTTCTGGATTCACTCAAGCTCAAGCGAGCATATGCTGACATGGCAGGTGCCCCCACCCAGTGCTGACGTGGCACATCCCCCCACCCTATGTGCTGACATGTCTCTTGTGATTCAAGTCATTCCATACTAGCTTCTTTCCCAACACCGCGCTGCACACTATTAGTCTATATGATCCTCCAAAGCCCCCTCGTTCTGCCAAGTTGGTTCCTGCTCTCTCCCTCCTTGTCCCCTTCGATCAGCCCTCCTCCCCTTCAACCCCGCTCCCCCTGACCCCCTCAGGTGGTGCTGCTGCATGCAGCAGCGGAGGATTTCACTGCCCTGGCGCCCCTGCTAGCAAGAGAGGGAGCAGAAGCAGCAGTAGGAGGAGGGGGTGAGACGGCACGAGCTCTCACGCTGATCACACTCCCGCATGAGGAGTTCCAAGACAACCCGAGAGTGCTGACAGGTGCAGTGCGGTTGGTGGGGTGCTGGCAGGTGCAGTGCGGTTGGTGGGGTGCTGGCAGGTGCAGTGCGGTTGGTGGGTCACTGGCAGGTAGTGGGAAACGATCTCTCACGCTGATCCAACCCCCACATGAGGAGTTCCAAGGCAACGGAAGAGTGCTGGCAGGTGCAATTGTTCAGTCGCTGGGTGCTGTCAGGTGCAATGCGGTTGGTGGGGTGCTGGCAGGTGCGCTTTTTTCTGCGCTGCTCGTCTGCTCTTCAACCCCCCTCTTCTCCCTTATTTTTTATCCCCGCTTCCTCCTTCCCCATCGCCAGGCAAGCTCCTCCGGAAAGTGAAGCCCTGCTGGCCGTCTGCTGTGCTGCTGGCCGTCCGCTGTGCTGCTGGCCGTCCGCTGTGCTGCTGGCCGTCCGCTGTGCTGCTGGCCTGGCCTCCACTCTGCCCCATCTTCCAAAGCCCTTCCACCCAAACCCCCCTTCCTCACCCCTCTTTCCCCAACCTCTCTTCCCTTACTTCCTTATCCAGGCAAGCTCCTCCGCAAGGTGAAGGCGTGCTGGCCGTCCGCTGTGCTGCTGGCGTCTACTCTGCCGCCCGTTTCAACTGCCGCCCGCAGTGAACAGTGTGGGCGGGATGGCGGGGGGTGAAGGGGGGGAGAGGCGAGGGAGAGCGGGAGGAGGAGGATTGCAAGAGGAGGCGGATGGAGGGGAGGGAAGGGGTTGGGGAAGAGGACGTGGGGAAAGAACATGAGAAGTGTGACCAGAGCGACTTTTATCTGAAAATGCTTCAAGCGGTGCACGCCATGGGTATGTGCTTATATTGGATGGGGTGCAGGCATGTGGTGGGATGTGCTTATGTTCGGTTGATGTCTTGCCATACCACCCTTCTTGTTCTCACGTCCATCACTACTCACCATTTTCTCAAGATCATGTTCTGAGTTTTCAACGCCCTTCCCACCAAGCTTGAATGGTGTGTGGGACACGAAGGCCATACGATACTAAATGGCTGGGGTGACAATTGAGTCAACTCAAAATTGTTTCCAACCCTTTTCCCACCAGGGTTGGATCAAGGATCAAAATGACGGTCGTTTTTTTGGAAATTCACCGTAAAATACGATATCGTAAATTACGGTCGTAAAAAACGGTAAAATACGGTTTATGTGTTCATTTTATGGTCTTAATAAAATACGGTCGTTTTTTACGGCCGGTTTTTTTTTAAGCGGGACACTGTATAGCGAAATTTGAAATTCTTAACCGTCAACCAGGTAAAGCTGAATTCCGACCCCCCAATCGCGTCGAATGTGTTTTCTCCCCCGAATCGCGAATTTCAGCACATTCACGAAGTGCTACATTTACGTATTTGGCGAAGGGGTTTCCATCAGATTACCCGCTTCGCTTTTTCGTAACAATCGTTCGCCGAACCGCAACGAGTTCATTTCGTGCGAGGCGCGACATTGAAACATTTGGCGAGCTGACACCAAATGATTGAACGCTTCGCCTATTCGTTGAACAATTTCGCGCCCCCTTTTTTGCTTTCGCCCGCTTGTGCGACTCACCCCAAATTCGCGCCTCGGGTTGAATTCAGCCAATCAGAGTTGGCCAATGCTCATCCCTCTCATCACCCCTTTCCCAAAATCCACTCGACAACTACCACGCCCAGCAACCAGGCCCTTCAGGTACTAATAGTTGTTGTTGCTATACTTCAACACGTTCCAGAATTAGAGCAGCCTTACATTACTCCAAGGTTCAATTACGGTTTTCGTAAAATACGGTCCGTTTTTTACGGTCGTTTTTTACGGTGATTTTCCAAAAAAACGGCCGTTTTTTTGTTAGAGAACTCTGTTTATTAAGAAATAAAAATAGAAAAACAAGGTCAAATACCTTTTTAATCATGCCAACAAGCACATACATGCGAAAAGGGGTCCGTCCCCTTCATGCTGCTGCATTTCGGGTTCAATTTGGTTCCACTGAGTGGCCGTTTTGTTAGTTAAACAGGAAACACTTCCTGGAACCGTTTTAAACCGTTTTTTACGACCGTTTTTTACGATACCGTTTTTAACGGTAAAATTTCAAAAAAACGGTCGTTTTTTTGAACCCTGCATTACTCACCTCAGCTCAACTTCTCCGCCATGGTGAGACCCGTCTCTGACCTTTGGAAGCATGTGAACAAGGTGACATCCGACGCCAACGTAGTTAGTGCAACATGCAAGCACTGCGGAGAGGCCGTTACCGCTAACGCGACACGAATCAAGGAGCATATTTACGGGACTCCTTTCAACAAGTTGAAGAACGTGACGATGTGCGAGTCAAATCCCGCTAAGCTGCTACGAGAGGAAGCTGAGCGTGAGCGTTCCTCCACCGTGGGTTGCTCTAACCGTGCCTCTTCGTCTTCGAATGAGCTTCAGCCCGTCCGTCGTGCTAGGCAGCGCGACATCCGCGACATGGCGGATGACCTTGCTCGCGGTCGCCTAGACTACCTTTGGGCCGCGGTTGTGGCTGAGAACGACTTGGCGTTCAACGTATCTAAGTCGAAGGCTCTTCAGGCGTTTGTGGACGCCGCTGTCATCTACGCCAAACCGTACACGCTCCCCACGCCGTACAAGGTTTCGGGCCCGCTGCTTGAGAAGCTCAAGGCGGATACCGAAGACCTTGTTCGGCCGATCAAAGACAGCTGGAGCATTAGCGGGTGCTCCCTCTCGGTGGACGGCTGGACATGCCTGAAATCCCGCGGCATGGTATGCGTCATTGCTCAGAATGACACTGCTCCCGTCATTGTTGATATCGTGGACTCAAAGACGGCCAAGAAGACCGGAGAGTACCTGGCGGCCCTAATTCGCAAGGCGATCTGCACAGTGGGGGAGAGGAAAGTCATCCAGGTTGTGATGGACAATGCGTCCAACAACAAACGGGCAGCCGACATGCTTCGTGAAGGGTTTCCTCAGGTGTTCTTCACGAACTGCGCCGCTCACGTGCTGGATCTCATGTTGCACGACATGGGAAACATTCGGGTGGTGAAGCGTGTCTTGACTCAAGTACACAGGGTGGTGATGATGGTGAAGGGATCCGCCTCTGCCGTCGTATTGTTCAGGGAGGTTTTCAGCAACTTGTCCTTGGTCCGCCCTGGTGCAACGCGGTTCGGCACCCAAGTGATTATGATCGGCCGTTTTTTGGAGGTGAAGAGGGCGCTGCGGGCGATGGTGATTAGTGAAGAATGGGAGGAGGTGGCGGTGGCACGGACGGAGGAGGGGCGTGCGGTCCGCACGCTCCTACTGGACGACTTCTTCTGGGACTTAGTAACGGCTGTCCATCGCCTCATGACTCCGGTGTATGGGGTGCTTCGGGTGGTTGACAAGAGGTCTCTCATCATGGGGGAGATATACGGCCGCATGATAGACGCCACAGTCCAAACGAACGAGGCGGCTGAGGCGGCTGGTAAGCACTATAATGCAGTTGGTGTTGTCGTACTTTGCTCGCGTTATTTCAAGATCAAACAAGTATCTTACTTGTTTCTGTTTTACTGCGTCTTAACAGCTGAAATCTTCGTCAAGCGTCCCACCCTGCTGGTGGCCAAAGACAAGGCCACGTTTTTTACCTCCATCAAGGCAATTGTCGCCAAACGATGGGACGGCCAGCTTCACAACGCCTTGCATGCGTTGGGCTGGCTCCTCAACCCCCGCAATCAGTACGTGGGTGCGGTGAGGAACGACCGTGAGATCAGGTTAGGGGCGGATGAGGTCATCCAGGCCCGGGGTGTGGACGTCGCGCAACGCACATTGCTCCACGCTCAGCTGGCCCAGTTCCACAAAGGAGAGGGCCAGCTTGGCTCCGATGACGCTCGTTTGGCTGCCACGACTTTGGTGGAGGGCGGGCGCTTGACTGACGCGGAATGGTGGTGGATGTACGGTGGGGAGGTCGCGGCGCTTCAAGAGCTGGCTGTGATGACCTTATCACAGCCAGTGACCTCATCCGAGGTGGAGAGGTACTTTACCGCGCTTGCTCGTGTGCAGAGGCGGGACCGGAACCGCCTTGCCGCCACCAAGATGACCGACGTCACCTACGTCGCCTTCACGAGGAGGGCTCGTGACGCCTTTGATCGGAGGCAGGGTGTGCGTGAGAAGCTGTATCGTGACCTGAGCAACGGCACCCTCAAGGAGGGCTGCACCATCGCCCCGGTCTCCGCTGAAGAGGAAGAAGAGGGGGCTGGAGTAGTGGAGGAGGAAGAGGAAGAGGCGTCAACTACCATCAACTGGGATGAGTTCGGTAGCATTGGCAAGAAGAAGAGGAAGACGAAGGTGGGAGAGTCCTCCAAGAGGAAGAGGAAGGGGAAGGGGAAGGGTAACCTTCCATGCAAGGGAAAGGGGAAGGGAGCGCTAGTGGAGGAAGAGGAGGAGGAGGAGGAGGCGGCAGACAGCAGTGGGGGGGAGGAGGCTGAGACGTGCAAGAAGACCCGTGATGGCAGCGACCCTTGGGACCTCAGTGATGGTTCTAGTGGGGAGGAGGAGGAGGAGGAGGAGGAGGAGGAGGAGGAGGAGGAGGAGGAGGGAGGAGGAGGAGGAGGAGGAGGACGACGACGACGACGACGACGACGATGAATAGGATCAGTACGGTTGAATGGGGGGTAATCGTAGAGATGAGGAGCATGTAGGGGGGGAGTAGGATGGCGGGAGGAAGGTGGTAGGTAGGGGAGGGCATGTAGTGGGGGAGTAGGATGGCGGGAGGAAGATGGTGGGTAGGATAGAGAGCGGGGTAGGGGTAGTTTTAGAGGCAGTGCCTATCGTATGTTTGTTTCATTAGTTTCTGAAGTTTCTAGAAAAAAAAACCCTTGCAAAATAACTCTAATAAAAAACGACCGTATTTTTGGAAAAATGACCGTAAAAAACGACCATTAAAAACGGCCCGTTTTTTACGCTGACCGTATTTTTGTTCCTTGGGTTGGATGGTGTGTGGGACACAGAGCCCATACTTAATGGCTAGGATGACGTTTTAGTTGACTTGAATGTGTTTTCAACCCCTTCCCTACCAGGTTTGGATGGCGTGTGGGACACGAAACCCATACTGAATGGTCGGGATGTGGTTGCTGCTCTGGAGCTCAAGAAAGGCGACCCACGTACAGGATGTTGGGTACGTTGAGCGAACATGCCTGTGAAAATTCGGCGGTTGCACTTTGCGTGTATGGTTGGATTTTATTTTCCATCTGGTTGATTTTCCTTATGCCAACACATCCAGCACATCAAGCTCAAGTTTGTTGCTTTTGTGTATGCATGTGGTGTGCAGATGGATCGAGTGATGGAGTGGCAATTGGCTAGTCCAAATAATGGATCAACCGAGGAATGTATTGTCTGGTTGAAGGCGCAGGCGCAGGTCCCTGAAGTCGGAGATAATAAATAACTTGAACGTGAAGGTTGCTGAGAATAAGGGTTACAGCTGCGTATACCTACAGTATACGCATGATGGAGGTAGTGTACTGTTGTGAAGTTGATATGCCATTCCACGAATCTGTTCAGTGTCTTTGTGGAGCTTCGCACGTGTTCACCAGCAGGGTGTGCTGGCTGGATCTGGGGGCTTCCCACGTGGCTACATGACAGCACACGCGAATTCGGCTGCGTTGATTCGCTCAAGGCGGTTGAAGGGTCATTCCCACCCACTGATCGGGGAGTCCGCCAGTAGGGAGCTTGATTGACTCAAATTGACACCTCAGCCACGCACACCTGACCAATCGGGAAATTTTGTCCCATGCCCACTGCCATATCCTCCTGAGAATGCCCAACAGCACAAGGCTGACGTGTGCGAGGGGTCACCATGACCCGTCACGATATGACATTGTTGACAAGTGTTTGCCACCGGGGATGCCTTTGCAGTGACAGTGATGCCAAACCTGTTCATAGCCGTTCGATCTCGCAAAGAAACAATCGAGACCGCATGTACCATGTCTGACAATTATTTTCCCTCGTTGGCCGATTACCTTGGGCTTTCAGCAGCATTTCTTGGGATTGTTGTTCCACCCCATCCTCCTCGTCCTCTTCCTCATCATCCTCGTGATTTTGTCATTGCCATTGTCAAATTCATTTTTCATGTCCAGTTCCATTTTCAACCTCATCAGTCTTCGTCTTCTGATCATATTAGCGTACCTGTATCACGTTCCACCACTAGTGTCGGCCGTATATCAGCGTTAATTTTGCTGCATTCGTCCTCCATTTATCCTCACTACGTGCTCGCATTAGGGAGAAGTAAACTGTGTTGCTATTTAAGTATCTCACAGTCGCAGCTATCATAAACCTAAACGTGTGAAGAACTCCACACTTGAGCAGAGCCCGCAGACTACCCAGCTTTCTCCATTTTGTAAGATCCATTGTTGGTCGAAAGCTGTTAGCAAATGTTATTGTACTTTCTCACCGTTTCCTTCACTCGTCCATCGTCCGTCATCCTCGCTTCTGGTGATTGACTAGGTTGTGGGAAGTTGGCAGACGACGCTCATCGTCAGCTCTTGTCTGCTTCACGGTTCCATGAGCTCTTCTACATGTCCTTGAACACTGTGAACTTGTTGTTGAACTCTCGAAAGTTCCGAAACATTCTGAGTCCTGGATGTCTACTTGGTAATTGGCTCAGCAGCTCACATCTCCAACAAGTTTCACCAGAACAGTAACGTCTCATGCTCATCTCCTCACCCCCCCCTTCCCCTCTTAATCCCGCTTCCTCTTATTGACCGACGCGTTCAAGCGCTCTTGCATCCATGCTGGCCATCTTCATAAGCTACAAGTTCGTAAGCCACACGCCGAAAGAGCTGACGGTATCTACAATATTCCAAGCTCGCCTCTCACTGACGTCATGACTCGACTTACCCTATTCATCCTACCAGCAGGTCGACCCGAAGCGCCTGCAGCCATGTTGGCCATCTTCCAGAAGTCGATAGGCGAGGCGCCGCAAGAGCTCATGGCGCCGAAGCTGAACCGGTCGGCGTCCATGTCGGGCCGGCTGGACGCCAAGGAGATCCTCCACGGCTTCAAGAAGGCGCACCCGGGTGCCGTGCTTATGCAGTTTGACGAGCAACACGCTATCGCGTACACGCACGACATGCAAGACTTCCTCATGCCCAGGTGGGTTGTCGTCTGCAGACGTTTCGTCGTATTCAGTGCGTCAATGCTCCTGGCGGTTGCGAATCGGTTCTGCAGTCGTTCGTCGTTTCGTCGTTTGTGCCTTCGAGCTTACAATTTTTTTTATATTCTATCTTGTCAAATTGGATGCTAGATGAATTGCATCGGAGCAGAACCTGCATTTCCTCCCTGAAGCAAATCTACCCTAACCTCTTTCCCCTCGCCGGTCAAAGTTCAGAACCTCGCGTACCGTCGGTAGCGGTACGGTCTTGACCGGCACGTGAGCTTGGCTAACGCTTCCGCCTTCCATCCCTCCGCTCCCTCCGCTCTCTCCGCTCCCTCCGCTCCCTCCGCTCCCTCCGCTCCCTCCACACCCTCCGCTCTCTCTGTTCCACCAGGCAATTCGCGGCGTGCGACGACGTGTTCTGCGCGTTCGCCGGCAACATCGAGAACCTCGCGCAGCTGCGGCAGCGGTACGGGCTGGACCGGCACGTGAGCGAGGTTAACCTGATCATCGAGGCGTACAAGACACTGCGCGACCGCCGCCCGTACCCGCCCGATCAGGTCATCGCGGACCTCGCGGGCGCGTTCGCGTTCGTGCTGTACGACAACAAGGCGAAGAAGGTTTTTGTGGCGCATGTGAGTTGATCGAGTGAAAGTTATGGAGAATGGGGAGGATTCAGCTGGTGTAGATGGCAATGCTAGCGATACGGCAATACTGGGTTAGGGTTATGGATAACGGGTCAGGGTTTGGTTGCTTTGAAAGGCTCTGGAGACGTCGTTTAGTCATGTCCCGTTTGGCCAGTCAGAGCGAATCTGAAGAACAAAAGAACGAGGCAGGGCGCAATAGAGAAGGTGACAGATGATGAGCTAGAGGGTGATGAGCTAGGGGGGATGAAGAATGGCGTTCTTTGTCAGAGGACGGTTGCTTGCTAGCATTTACGCGTTGCCCCCAAGGATTACCTCTCCAAGAACGCTCGGGCTGCTTTGTATTGGAACAACCCCTTGAATCAAAACAATTCCTTGTATTTGGAAACCTCTTTTCTTCCGTTTCTTCACCCGGTTCTGCTCCAGCGCTTGTATGTCGCTCATGTTCCATCCCTACACCACCCCGACATCCACCATGCCCGTGCTGCCCACTGTCACCACCAGGACGCGCAAGGCAAGGTGCCCCTGTACTGGGGCAAGTGCCTGGACGACGGAGTGCTCGCCTTTTCGGACGATCCCGCTGTGCTCAAGGCCGGCACCGGCTCCTCCTTTGCCCCCTTCCCTCTCGGTACGCGCCAGGATTTTTTTGCCCCTTCCATCTTCTGCCTTTTTCTGCCCTTTCTCCCTCTTTCTTCTCGTTGCCCCCTTCCTCCTCGATCTGCCCCTGGCCCTTTGCCCTCTTCCTCCTTGGTACGCGCCTGTCCCATCCCATCGCACATCCTTCACAGACTCCAGCACACATGCCGGCACACATGCCACCGCACATCCCATCACACACCCCTTTTCAGACCCCATCATCACACAACCCACCACTCATCCCATCACACAACCCATCACACATCCCATCATACATCCCATCACATGTCCCATCACACATCCCATCATACATCCCATCACACAACCCATCACACATCCCATCATACATCCCATCACACATCCCATCAAACATCCCTTCATATCCCATCCTTCACCCCATTACACACCACATCCCACATCCCGTCCCACCCTCAGAAGTAGCTTAGGGCCATTCAGCAACCTACCCCCTCTTCGTGCCCTGTCACCCCTTGTCACCGCTTGTCACCGCTTGTCACCTCTTGTCACTGCTTGTCACCTCTTGTCAACCCTTGTCACCCCTTGTCATCCCTTGTCACCCACCCAAACCCACCCCACCTCACCCATACAGGCTGCTTCTTATCCTCGGACGGTGGGATGCGCAGCTTCGCGGACCCCGAGAAGCAGCTCAAGGCCATTCAGCATGTTACCAGCCAACTCACTACCGCTTCCTGCCCTGTCACCCCTTGTCACCCAACACCACCCCTTGTTACCCCAACCCACCCACGCAGGCTGCTTCTACTCCTCGGACGGTGGGCTGCGCAGCTTCACGGACCCAGAGAAGCAGCTCAAGGCCATTCAGCACGTGGACAGCCAGGGGGAGCTCTGTGGCGCCACCTTTAAGGTCGACAGCCACCAGGATTTGACTCAGCTGCCTCTAGACTCCAAGGACGACAGCGGCCGGGGCTGGTCATAAATGTGCTTTACATGTATAGTTAGCGGAGGTGGGACGAAGAAGTTTTGGTGGTGTTTGTTACACCAACACCAACAAGGATATGACCTGATTGTTACTTAAATGATGGGGAGTGGACGGGGATGATCATAGAGCACCAAGGGATGTTGTGCTGCTGCAGCTTGTCACGCTGATTAAGAAACACATTACTTCTCTACATGAGGAGCTAGCATGTACTAGTAGGCAAGACGGGGCACGAGATATTGTTACGGGCTCATTTCATTTGATTTTTGCAATGGAAAATGCCTGATTGTTTCCAACACCTTACTGCATTCCCCCTCTTTCCAGCTTAGCAAATGGGCAGCTTTTGCTACTAGCTGTAAATCCTCAGTCACGGATCCAAGTTTGCATGGTGTAAACTTAACCACAACACAAGCTCCTGCTACCTGAGTGACTACCGTATTAAATTTCGGGACACTGCACTGCTTGCGTGGTTAAAAACATCAGTAGTAACTGAGAACAGCGGAATGGCTTGCATTGATTGAGTTGGGGTACAAGTACCTAACCCTATTTGTTTGTACCCCATATAGTATGACCCACTAAGGGCTATAACATTTGACACACCCCCATAGCCTAAGTGGGGAATGCCAAGTAACAGAACACAACCTAAGGTCACAAGACCAGTCACAAGCAAGCGAGAAAACAAAGCTCAGGGTGGATCTCAACGTCACCACACATTCTGAGCACAAACAAGGGGCCACAAGGCCAGTTCAAGAGTGTACAAGCTAATATATATATGGTACAAACAAGCAAGAGGCAAGAACTCACTACTGCAGTCTACTAGACCCAGTCTCAACAAGGCCTAACTGCAGACAAAACCGGCGGTGGTCACAAGGCTGAAGAGCCTTGGTGAAGATGTCTGCAGTGTTGGCCTCAGAGGCCACGAAGTCCAGACGTACCTGTCCACGTCTCTGCAACTATCGAAGGAGGAAGTACCTGACGTCGATATGCTTCACCCTGCTCTCCAGTCGAGGCTCACGACACAGGAGAATCATCGCCTTGTTGTCAGCAAACAAGGTCGGTGCAGAGCTCGGCCGCTCACCAAGGTCAGTGAGCAAGAAGGTCAACCAGCGTAGCTCCTGTGCAGCGAGGGCTCCAGCGTAGATCTCGGCCTCTGCGGTAGAAGTCGCAACAGAGGATAAAGGAGTGAGTAGACCTCCACGAAACAGCTCCAGAGCCCAGGCTGAAACAGTAACCCTGTGTAGACCTCTGTGACTCAACGTCGTCGGCGTAGGAGGAGTCGCAGTGACCGGTGAGTACAACTGGCTGTGTCCCTCCAAGTACAAGCCCCATGTCTGATGTCGCGCCGAGGTACTTCGCCACCCTCTTAGCCGCCGCCCAGTGAACAGGACGGTGTCTCCCTGTCGCAACAAAGCGAGAAAGGATGCTAAGAGGGAAGGCGAGGTCCGGGCGAGTGCACGTCATCAGGTACATGAGGCAGCCCACCAACTCTGCGTAGGGACCACTGGGCTCGAACGGCTCGTCAGGAAAAGGCCCAGTGAGTCTGTGGTCTACAGCAAGAGGGGTGGGAGGAGGAGAGGAGTGCTGAAGCCCGAACCGCTGAAGGACCTGCTGCACCATGTGTGACTGAGTCAGAGTGATGGTGCGAGCGGCTCTGTCCCTGGAGATCTGCAGGCCAAGGTAGCGGCGCAGTTCCCCAAGGTCAGTGCAGGTGTGTCTCTTCTGCAGTTCGGACTTCACCTCCGCCAGTGCGACTGTGTCGGCTGTGGCAAAAACCAGGTCGTCAACGTAGACAAGAACAAAGAAAGGTGTGCGCCCACGACGAACAAACAGCGACGGGTCGGCGGAAGACGGCTCAAACCCAAGGTCGGACAGAGTAGAGCGGAGAGTGTCGTGCCACTCACGGGGTGCCTGGCGGAGACCGTAGACCGGTCGTCTGAGGCTCCACTGGGTCCCAGGCGGGAAAGTGCCAGTGAAGCCCGGAGGACGACGCAGCCAGATCTCCTCGTGTAGGCTGCCCTGCAAGAAGGCAGTGGAGAAGTCGAGAGAGTGTAGCTCGTAGTCTCTCTGCGCTGCTACGTGCAGTAACACCCGAAGAGTGGTCATCTTCGGGGTGGGCGCAAAGGTCTGAAAGAAGTCAACTCCCTCACGCTGACTGAAACCTCTAGCCACGTAGCGTGCCTTGAAGACTGGAGGAGATCCCGGCGGCCGCTTCACCTTGAAGATCCACATGCCGTCAACAATGTTCGCCCCTGGGGGGGGAACCTCGTCAACGTAAGTGCCTGTGGACCTGTAGGAGGCCATCTCTGCGTCCATGGCAGCTCTCCACTGAGAGGCCCAAGGCCCTGACACTGCCTCAGCGTAAGTGCGAGGAGTAGGTATGTCAGGAGCGTCGGGGTCTCCCTCAGGAGCGAGCAGCATGGCACAGAGATGAGGTGAAGCGGCTGCCAGGAACTCTAGCTCAAACTGTCTATCCTCTAGGACGGCACAGCCAAGGGCAAACTCACCCCCGGCGGACAGAGGACGGACAGGAGGAGCCGCCACAACGCGAGTGGCGTAGTCAAGGCGACGCGTAGCAGTAAAGTCTGTGACAGCGGCAGTGAGGACCGCGACGGAGGAAGGAGAGGCACGAGGGTCTGTAACAAGAGAGGCGAGAACACGAGAGAGAGTGGGGCGGTACGTGCGGTAGTAGTCAGTGACCGGAGTGGACAGGGAGGCAGTGAGGGATGACTCGGGAGGACGAGGAAGAACAGACGGAGGAGAACGAGGAGGACTAGGACGAAACAACACGGTACGAAGGTCACGGACAGGTGACGAGGGACGAGCACGAGGAGGACGAGAGGCCCAAGTGTGGGAGAGAGGAGTGGGAGACGGAGCGGGAGACGGAGGAGACTGAGAACGAGGGAACACAGCCGGAGCTGAGTCCGGAGGAGGAAACGTCGGACCGAACACAGGAGGAGAGGAGGAGGGGAGACCAAGGGCCCGAAGGCCAGTAACAGAGGCCGGAGGCTACTCCAGCTGCTGCGGCGGCTGCTGCTGCTGCTGCTGCTGCTGCTGCTGCTGCTCCCGCTGCAACTCCAGCCTCTCACGCTCCACCCGCTGCTGAACCTCCAACCTCTCACGCTCCAAACGCTGCTGCTCCTCACGCTCAAGACGAAGACGGGTCTGGTGTCGAGTCAGGTAGGGGTGAGGAGGAGGAGTGGTGTCAGGAGACGAAGAAGAAGAACCGGCTCCGCCCTCGACAGCACCCGGCTGAGAACCCCCAGAGCGTGTACCCCCTGCGGCAGCACGACTAGCACCTGTAGGAGGTGGACCCGCACCCCCAGTCGGGGTGCCTCCAGTGGCACCAGCACCAGCCTCAGACTCTCCAGCTCCAGAAACACCACCAGCTCCAGCACCACCACCAGCTCCAGCACCCTCGGAACGGGCACCGCCAGCGCCAACACCCCCAGAACGGGCGGCTCCTGTAGGTGCACGAACAGCTCCAACGCCAGCACCCCCAGAGCGAGCACCGCCAGAGCCCTCACCCCGAGCACCAACACCCTCAGAGTCCGCAGTGGCCGGTAAAGGAAGCGCTGACGGCTGCTGCGGAGGCTGTGAGGACGACTGTGGGGAAGGAGGAGAGACCTGGGGGGGTACCGAGGGGGGGGGAGTAGCGTGGGACACACCAGACGGAGCAGGACCAGGGGGGGGTACCGGAGGAGCAGGGGCGGGAGGAGGAGGAGCTGGAGCCAGGAAGAGGGGAGGGGGGGGAACCGGGAGACCTCGAGAGGGGTACCTGACGTAGTAGGGGACGGACTCGTCGAAACGGACGTCACGAGAGTCAAAGAACCGGTGGGAGGGTGGGTGGTAAAAGGTGAAGTCAGAGGAGCCCTCTGGGAAACCAAGGAAGACACAGGGGACGGCGCGAGGCGAGATCTTGTCCGCAGAGGTGTCGCGGACAAGAGCCAAGCAGCCCCAGACACTAAACCTCGACGCAACACCAGGGGACCCTGTCCAAAGACTGGTCGGTGAAGCCCCTGGCCGAGAGACGCGAGGCCAGAGGTTCAGCTGGTGAGCGGCGTACCGAGCCGCGTAGGGCCACAGAAAATGGGGCGCGCGGGCGTGGATCATGGAGGTGCGGGCGATCTCCATGACCAGGCCTAAGCGGCGCTCAGCAACCCCATTCTGCTGTGGAGAGTCTGGGAGAGTCCAGGACTGGGTGATGCCCTGCTCAGCACAGAAACTGGCGAGAATGCCGGAGCGAAACTCACCCCCACGGTCGGAGTGGAGACAACTGACACGACGACCACGAGTGCCCTCGGTGGCGAGGAGCCACCGGATCAGCGTAGAAGTCACGTCGGACTTCTTCGCCAAGGGGAACACGGTGGTGTACCGAGAGTAATCGTCAACGACCACCAGAAAGAAACTCTCCCGCTCAGGGCCAAGGCGGGAGGCGGGGCCCCAGACGTCTAAGTGGAGTGTCTGGAAGGGCTCGGTGGCCGGACGAAGGGAGGAGGAGTGGGGGGTGGCGCGAAGCCGACCCTGGACACAAGGACCACACGGAGGAGCTGGGGACGGCGGGAGTGGTGGGAGGACTCGGGGGAGGCCTAAGACAAGACGCTGACTGGACATGGCGCGCAGACGAGGAAGGGACGGGTGCCCCATCCGGTGGTGCCACAGAACGGTGGGGTGGGCAAGCGACCGACACGAGCACGACGCAGCAACTACACCTGACACAGCAACCTGACTGGACCCGGCTACCTGGTGGGACGGGGGAACCTGACGGGGGTCGGTGCGGAGGGTGTACAGACCAGAGCCCGGCTCCTGGCGAAAAGTGGCCAAGGGGGCGTACGTGTCACCGTCGACGCAGACTGCGGTGTCACCAGAAGGCTCAACCCAGACCCCGACGTGCTGTCTCGCCAGGGTGCCCACACCAACCAGGTTCCTAGAGAACGTAGGAACGTGGAGGCCGGTCAGGGAACCAGAAGGAGCAGCTGGGCACGGGAGTGTAGTGGCGTGAG